TCGACGTTTGACTACTTCCCCATTTATAGAAACTATTCACATTTACTATTTAATCTTTTAGGCTAATACTGTTCTTTCATCTAAAAATGGTCTACTTCCTCATGTTTTATTCGCACTTGATAATGTGATTCGTCGTGTTGCTGAAATTCTTGTTGGTCTTATTCGGCCAGGTAAAAATTTTCATATCATTTTAAAAAATGTTTTGTTTTTTGTATATAGACTTTCGTCCTGCTATTAATAATATGGCACCAATAACACCAAGTGATAGTTCGACAATGAGTTCAACTAATGTACGTTCACCATTATTTCTCGCTATTAGTGATACAGCAAATGATGAAATTACTCGTTTACATCAACAATATTTAAAACTTATTCGAACGAACCGAGAGTAAATTTTTGTTTTCATCTGTGAAATATTTTCTATTTTGTTTTTATTAAAGTCAACTTAATCAATTGGTTACAATTGAAAATAATAATGGTGCTAAATTAACTCAATTATCATCAATTAATCAATCAAGGTAAATTTTTTTGTTAGAGATTAGAATTTTTGGGAATATCGAATTCGAATATAAAGATATTTTTTTATTCTTCTTCTCCTCATACTTCCGTAGTTCTTCGATTTTTCGACGAGTGTTTGAAGCTATAATCAGTACAATCAGGTTAGATATTTTATAAAGAGTGATGCACGATTTCATTGCATTTACTTCTCTTGAACTTAGCTTTAACAGTTTTTTCTGCGTTTGATTCTAATCTGATTTATTAAAGAATATTTGATGTTTTGTTTTCTATTTTAGTAAAACAGTTGGATTGTTTTTACCAGCTGAAAGATCACCGGAAACGGACAATATGGTAAATAAATTTTTATGCTACGATAGATTCTTTGATGGAAAGGTAGAATATTCTATTCAAGAATAAATATGAAAAACTCAGGCACTAGAATGTATTGAATGAGAACAAGAAAGAGTACCTATACACAGCTATAGTGCTGAAGTATCTGGAGATCATTTGAAAAACTAATTCGATTCAGTGTTCTTTTGCTCATTAACCTGTTCATGCATGCATCATAATCACCATATGAGCAATCGATAGTCTTTTCTTGGTCATAGATCATAATAGATAATGTTTTGAAAATAAAATCTATTGTTTATTATTTACAAGAGCTAATAATTTCAACAGAAAAATTTATTTTATTCAGCGTTATAATAATTTTTGCATTCTATTGGTCTAATCATATGATAGTCAACATTTCTTATCTTTAATAATGATAAATTTCTTTATTATTAAGAATTCTGAACCTACAACTGCACCCTTATTAGACGAACAAACGAAGTTAAATCATTTAACACCAATGGCAGGAGTATCAAAGCAAATAACGTACGTTTCTTCTCTTGCTGTAAGACATAAATTTTCATCTATTGAATTTTGCTTTTATAGACGAACACGATCACTGATTTCTATTGAACAAGAACATGATCAATTGCTCAAATCAATGATTGATAATCGAACCCGTCTTAATCAATTACTCAATTCTTCGAACATTTGATAAAAAATTTGTATCTTATTTTTTTTTCTCTAGTAGAATTAGCACATAAAAAAAAACCTTATTTTTCTGTTCTTCTTTGGTTAGCATGACCTATTGAAATCCAATAGTTCTTTCATATTGTTCTTTTTGTAAGATCAAACTGTTATCTTCTTTTGTTGTTAATAATCCGGCAACGTTCTGTGCTATTGTTCACAGTCGTTTCTTTTTCTACTTTTTCTTTTCTTGTATTGTATACATTTTATTATTATTTTGTCTCAATTCTCATGTATGTGAACTGTGTACGATCATTTTTGACATTAAATATCAACGAGTTAAATCGATTTTGGACGCTATCGCATCACAGAAGTTTTCTTTTAATATGATATATATATGTTCTATTATATCTCATCCAAGTTTAGAAAAACAACAGAAACTGAAATCAGAAGATGTACATTTTCTACACTGATTGTAGATTACTATAGTGTTTACTTATCTTGATGCTAAGAGATAGGTTCTGATAAATTTAGTTAATAATTGAAGAAACATCCGATAGGTTGTCATATGTTTTGACACATCTATTATTCGTATAAAACATCAACAGTTTAAACGAATTGAATATTTGCAGTTCGGTTTATTTTCAGCTTCTGCAAATGACTTCTAGTAATTTGTATATCAATGAAACCTTGAGTAAAAAGAATAACCTTCGTGTTGTACAATATTATCAACATATTTTAGTATGCAAAGAGATAAATAACTGAATCTTTTATTGATAACCCAGGCTATTTCTGTTCGCTTCTTTCAAAGATATGGTTGGATATAAACCTCTTCAAAAGATCTTCTACCCCAGGCATATCTAATGCGATGCGAAGTTAAGCATTTATGGAGTCCTTCGCGAGTTTTTCTCGTACATATCTTTAGTAAAAATGATAAAAATTCTATTTATTTCCTAATATTAGAATATTGGACAACTTTTCAATGAGTAACAAGAATAATCATTTCATGCGAGAAAATGCAACTCGAGTCAAAAGTGCTTGTTTCTTATGAAGAAACGGCTAAAGAAGGAAAATAAAAATTGCGTTCCAAAATTTCCATACTATTCCGTGAATATTGATAAACTCCCAGCCGCATCTCTAGTATTAAATGTTACGATGAAGTCCATATAGAAGACTATACGTTTTAACTGTTACATGCAAAGTATCGATTTCGAAGTAACGGATAATTCTTACATCTACTGTACTTTTCTACTATCCTGCGCAGTTTCCCTTTCATACGAATTACCTTATTGAAAACAATATAAGCTTTCGGATGAATTTAGATCAGTTAGGCACGTCTTGTACATATGATAGTCAAAAGCATATTTGTTTGACTCAGAGGATTTTTTTGTTCTTCTAAAATGTTATTTTTTTGAGTACAATACTGTCTTTATATATATATTGTCCTATGGAAAGAAAAGAAATAGATATTACCATCTATGTTTTTAAAACAAGATTATATAGTTTTCTAATTCTATGTGTTTTTCTTGTGTTGCCTCTTTGTTTACGTCCTTCCTATCTCACGTTCTTTTTCGCTACGCAGAAAAGTCCTCACAGTTACAGAAATATGCCACTTGATGATGAGAAGTCTATGAAAAGTTCCGCTAGTTATACCGAAAGTTCCTCTTAGGAAAACGGCAGTCAGGGTATAGTCTTACACACGATAAATAGTTAATCTTCTTTTTATTAACGACTAAATTCGTTCAATTCCGTATGAGGCATTAGGTAAAATGTACATTTTCTGGATCTTTGACAGCACTTGCTTATCATATCTTAAAATACTTTTGATAATGATTTTTCATTGAATAAGCATATGTTTTAACTCTAATCATAGGCTTAAGTTTTTCAAAAAACACTGTCCTCAAAGAGTTAACGAAGTAGATGAATGGTCAAACAGTAATATTATAATAAATATTAACGAGTAATGCAAAACTTTCTCACAAATTTCTTCAGAATGTGAATAGACAAAACACTTATTAATACCTATCTTTGAGACAGTGTAGTTATAAAGAAATTTCTGACTTTTTTCAAGAAATGTTAATCAAAAGCTAATTTTGTTGCCAAAGTTTCCAAACTACCAGTATAAGAATGCATAATTCTAAATTAGTATAAAATCGAATCTGCACCGGAAGAACTATCGAAGCTGAATTAACTCCTGAGCTGACTTGAAAAAAATAATTTAGAGATAAATTATCTCAATTCAATTTTTAATACGTCAATCATATAAATAGGCTTATTGAACAATGGATAAACATATGAATAGATGTGATGTCGCTCAAAAAAGTTTGTTGAATATTCTATAGATCGTGAATTATTCACTAAATTATAGCGATTTTTGTGTAGTTGACCCTTAATGAGTTCATTCATTGTATGTATAAATAAAGAAAGTTCATTTATAAAGAAATGTATATATACAGACAAAAGTGCCATCGTCAATAATGAAAATGAATCGATCTAATGTTTATCTACTTGATTTACCAAATGAAATATTATTTAATATTTTAAAAAAGCTTCAAAATGCCGATGTTCTTTATTCATTACTTGGTATTAATAATAATCGACTTGATAATATCGCACGAAACGCAATGTTTTCCAATATTCTTAATTTCATATCAAATGTTCAAAATACAATAATAAATGATTTTCAACTTAATCGATTTTGTGATTATATCTTACCTGAAATTTCTCACAATGTCAAATATCTTATTGTTGAATCAATGTCTATAGAACGTATTCTTCTCGCTACTCATTATCCAAATTTAATTCATTTGAAAATTTTTAATTTTCAATGCGACTATTCATTACAATATTTTACAGGTATAAGCAAATATCTATTTCATATATAATGCAGCAATATTTTACTACTGGATTTTAGATGATTCATCGCTTCGTCAAATTTTCAAACAACAGATTAAAAAACTTGATCTTGTGAATAAAGATAGCGAAGTTGGACTACGATTATCAAGTGATTACACAAAAAAAGTATACGCACATATATTGACTTACTTCGAAAATCTTGAGCATTTAAACATTATTCAAACATCCAGTTTCGGATATCCATCGTTAAGACTTTCCAGATTACCATCAAATACTTTTTCTTCTATATTTCTTACTTATTTATCTATTCGTGTGACAGATTATACTGATTGTCTTTATTTACTTGATGGTCGTCTCAAACAATTAAATACATTCATTGTTCAAATTTGTTGCATGAATATGGACTCTTCAATTGTATATAATAGGGTAAGTTTTAGACAGTATAGAAGTTCGTTCATGATCCTCAATATTAAACGATTAGAATTATCGTTTAAGAAAAATTATTCTTTTTCATTATATAGGATGATCTACCTAATCTTACATGTTTTTCATTAATTTCCTACACTTTGATTGAAGAAAATGAAAATAGAATTGTATCTCTTCTTCATCGTATGTCGAATCTGGAAAAACTAACTTTATATTTACGCTTTGTTTCTCAGAACAAATTCATTGATCCAAAATCTTTTATGAACAACTTATCAACATATATGACACGAGTTTATTCACTGAAATTTTATTTTAGTATCGAAAATAATAGAAATGATACTCTTGATTATTCGTTCAATATTAATATACAATCTCAAGAAACATCAAATATTGTTTGTTATAGTGTCAACACAGTTACGTATCATGTCTTTACGCTTCCTTTCGAGTTCATCAAGCTCGTATCTATTGGTAATATATTTCCAAATATTGTATTCAATAATGTTATCGAATTATGGATACACGATATTATTCCATTTCAACATGAATTCTTCCTACGAATTACTCAATCTTTTCCATTACTCCAACGTCTATTTGTTACTGATTTAACATCATTATCATATAAGAGAAAGAAATCACCTAATAATATTCAAGCAGATCAAATCGTTAAATATCCTCATCTCATTTTACTTGATATTAAGGGACTAAATAATGATTGTATTGAGCAATTTCTCAATGAAACCAAAACATATTTACCATGTTTAACTATATTACGTGTCTCCTATGAACAGTTACAAATAACTACAGAAGATTTTACACGAGAAGTAACACGAAAGAATTGTGCCAATGTGAGAAGATTAATCACAGGAAGGGAAATTGTTGGTTCAAAAGATTATCATTACTATTTTCCTTTGTTGTAAATAAATGTTTATTTTTTTATGCTTGATTATATGAAATTTAAAAATAGAAAAAAAGAGACAATTTTTTTTTGTTTAACGCTTTATTTATTTCTTATGACGAATTCGCCATTAGGCGCTGACAGTCTTATCACAAACTGAGCTTTAAGAAAAACATCGGCAACAGGAGAAATAAGAAAGTATAGAAGAAAATTTTCAACACTAGAAATACTGATCTGTTGTATAATAAAAGAAAAAAAAAGAAAAAGAAAGAAAGAACTTCTTCATTGTTGTTTCTAATTGTTTTCTTTATCTTCTTCTTTTTGCAGTTTTACTAAAGAAATAATTTAATTGGTACAGGTATCTTTTATTGAAAATAACTCATACCTAATTTCTTGATTATTTCTCATTAATCATTAAAATTTTATTCTTTTGAAATTTGAGTTTATATATGCTATCTTGGATCTTCTTTATTTCATCATGATCTACTTCATTTTCTGTTTTTGTTTCTCCATGATCTACTTCATTTTCCTTTTTTATTTCTTCATCAAGTAATTGATTTTGCTCTATTAACTGTTCTTCCACTAAAGCTAAATACTTTTCATTGTCACCGATCTACAGAAAAGAAAACAGTTTACAATGTAATATTTTCTTGAAATATTATTTGGTTACGAACATATTCAAAGTTAATTGGCTCTTCCATGGATGAAAATGTATAATGTGTTGCACGACTTATGTAACATAAACGTTTAGTGGTATGTGATCAGGTTCGATTAAACTTCCCAGATCGAACAATCCAGCACGGAAACGGTCGGTTCTGCCTGGAACTGATTCTAGGGTCGAATTTTTGGCATTTTCTGACAGAGTTCCTGCCGAAAACGGTGTTTGCCAACGGTTTTAGTCGGAAATTCACAGAATACTGCTTCAGGAATCATCGTGCGGGGAAGTTCTTCTAAAAAAATAATTTAATTTGTATAGTTATGTTTGATTAAAATTATTTCATACCTTTTTCGGCCATTAACCGCTGGTTTGCCATGATGTATTCATTCTTGTCATATTTTAACTTGTAGATATAATTTTCCATTCGTGTCTTATTGGATTTGCTCATATTTACGTTCATCAGTTTATTTTATTTTTTATTTCCTCATCAAGTAATTGATTTTGCTCTATTAACTGTTCTTCCACTAAAGCTAAATACTTTTCATTGTCAGCGATCTACACAAAAGAAAACAGTGTTCAGTTTAACATTTTCTTGAAGTATTACCTTATCTAATAAATCTTCAGTAGTATCAACAGTATCAACAGTTTCCATTTAAGTAAATGATCGATTTTCTTTTCGAAAGAAATTTTATCCGTTGTTGATTTAGGTAGCTTAAACTTTATGGAATAAATATAGCTACAGAAAATAGAGAGAGAGACCAAATAATGATGTTATTAGATGGTATCACTTTTATTTTATTTTGATGATATCATGTTCACTATATCATACGTTATTCCAGGTAATATAGAAGGAACGATAAAATAAAAGTATTATGATAAAGAATGCACGAATATCACCATGAAAATACAGTAGATATTCTGAATAAAAATAAATAACAAAGAAAGTGATTCAACCTTTACTGATTTTAACTGAGAACACAATATTCATTCCTACAGCTACCATTTTATATTGACAAAACAATCTTAACAAAAGCGTTATGTACAATTGCTTTGTCGATTCTGTCATTGTATAGTTGGCATGACATTATTCTTTTTTTTTTACGTTCCTTCTAACAAGTAATTGCGACATCAAACGAAATAAATGGCAAAACAAACATTAGGCTCATTCAAACCGAAGAAAAAATAACTACACATCACACATCTCATCAACAGTTCACAATGGCAAATGAAACTACCACCAACTTCCATACGCTACCGGCAGACCTTGTCTGCCGAATTTTGGATCATCAATCATATCAAACAATTTTATGTTCAATGACCAACGTATGTCAACGGTTCAATAACATTATAGACAGCTACGATCGATATCAGGTAAACTTTTATTTATTTATTCTCGAATTGTTTTTCATTCCTACAATCGTTGTTTAAGTAGGATGACTTCAATAAAACAGATATGAATAAATCATTTACCCTCTCTTCCCAACTATTCATTCTTTGTATTATGAGAATATAAAAATAATGTCTTGATAATCAGCAACAAAATCACCTCTTTTTTTTCTTTCTTTTCAATCTCTTTTTAATACTTCACGTTTCAAAACAGTTATGATGTCATAAACATACAAAATATGTATAAGAATGAAAAAAGGAACAAAAAGTTGTTTTTTTGTTTTGCTTGACGTGCATCTAAACACTTTTTAAAACGTCATTTTGGTAATAAAAATCAAATTTTAAAAGAAACTAACAGTCTAGAAGCTAGTTTATCTTGTTCTACCTAACATCCTAGATATTGTATTAAGGAATATCTAAATCAAATACTCCTCTGAGAGAATAGGCGTCTGTATAGTATAGTTGACAGTCGATACGAATAGAGAGACCATTGGTCTACAATAATATTCACACTCTCATGCAATCACATCACTCATACTACTAAGGGGGATCATTTCTTCGAAGAATACTACTTCAAAGTAGATTTTCTCACATCTGAAGCACACTTTCATATTTCATAAACCAGTGTGGTTTCACTTATACAAGCGTATGATGGCATCGAAAGCAACTATCAAATTCATTAAATATTCTAACCAGTATAAATCATAATCATACATTTAGTCAAGTTAGATAACTCACATGGGGTTCTGACTCAAAACACACATCGAATCTGATCAATGGACATGAAAGAAACTATCTTTTGTCATACCTACAGAATACTAACAATCAAATCATTTACTGCATTATACTGTCTTTTGATTATATAACGCTACGCTTTAAAATTCTTTGATACCGACACAATTTACAATCTATTATTTAATAACCAGACATTTTTTCTTTTTTCACAAACATTGGAAGATTTCAGGGACTGATAGATAAAAACTTGCTCTCGGTAGTTCACCCTTCGTAATTCCCCTTAAAGCCACATTTTCAATCGACAATCTTTAGTACTGAACTGAACAACATCTAAATCATAGGAATATTCCGATTTGTATCTATACATTCCTCTATGTAGTGACAACAACATTCATTTTATTGATCTAACCTCATATCACACAGACCAGTCATTCTCTCTCTTCATCTCTATCATGTCTTTACTTCTATTTTTAATCTAGGAACTTAGCACATTAAATCTGGAGCACAATGCACTTAGAGGTGTTGAAGTACAACGTTTGGCTGATGCATTAAAGCACAATTCAGTAATTTTTATTCCCTCCTCATCCATATGATGTCCTTACCTGCACTTTTCATCTAGACATTCACCACATTAAATATCGCGCATAATCTGATCCGGCATCTTGGAGCAAAGTATTTGGCTAATACATTACGACATAACACAGTAGGTTTGATTCCTTCTTCATTTATATCATGGTTTTCCCTACATCATTTCATCTAGACACTGACTACACTAAATCTCGGGTACAACCAAATCGAACATTTTGGAGCACGATATTTAGCTGATGCATTAAAACACAACTCAGTAATTATGATTCTCTTTTCATTTATATCATGTCTTTCTTTGCATCTTTTCATCTAGACCCTGACCACATTGACTCTAGAAATGAACGAAATCGGAGAAGTTGGAGCACAACATTTAGCTGGTGCATTGCGGCACAACACAGTAATTATTATTCCTTCTTCATTTATATTATGTCTTTACCTGCACTTTTTCATCTAGGCATTGACCACACTCAGTCTTGAAGGCAATCAAATCGGAGACGTTGGAGCACAGCATTTGGCTAATGCATTACGACATAACACAGTAATTTTCATTCTCTCATAATCTATTCTATGTCTTTACCTACATCTTTTCGTTTAGGTACTGACCACATTAAATCTACAACGAAACGGAATCCGTGAGGTTGGAGCATACCATTTGGCTGATACATTAAAATACAACTCAGTAATTATGATTCCTTCTTCATTTATATCATGTCTTTCTCTGCATCTTTTCACCTAGACACTGATCACATTGAATCTGGCAGGAAACGAAATCGGAGAGATTGGAGCAGAACATTTAGCTTATGCATTACTGCGAAACATAGTAACTATCACTTTTTGTTCATCTATACAGTGCTTTTATGCCTGCACTTTTTCCTCTAGACAGTGACCACACTAAATCTCGAGCGCACTCAGATCGGACATGCTGGAGCACAACATTTGGGTGGGACATTACGATACAACACAGTAATTCTCATTCTCTTTTCATGAATATCACATCTTTATCTTTATCTTTATCTTCAAT